TTGCCACATAGCTTGCCACCCGGAATGCCTCCTGCCGCATTGCAACTGTTGACAAATCTCTTTTTAAGAGCGCGCTTAAAACGTCATTTGAACGGCGTTTGCTGTGTTTTTTTCCAATATTTTTTAGTCGATTTCTTTGCCGCCCCGCATCAGGGCGTTGTGTAACCAGCATCAGCATCAGCAGGAACAGGAGCAGAAGCCCACATCGAAGAGCTAAACCAATCAATATTTAACACATTTAACCCTTTGACGACACCAACAATGCCACGCCTGCGTCCCGCTGATCGTTCTGCGTAAAATTAGCATAAAATTTGAATTTTACAGCCAAGTGAAGCGTATGCAGCGCGTGATTGACAGCAGTCGAATTCAATTGAAGTCGAGGAGGGCCGCACAGCTCCCAGTCCGTGCTATGAAATGAAATAAAATAAAATTTAATTCAAATAAAACCAATTTTTGGAGCTCAGCCGGCCTCAACACCCACCCGCACATCCAGTCCACAGCCCACCGCAGAAATAGGTACGCCAGGCCAACCTTTGGGCTCTAGGTCGGACGACCTTGCGGCAAAACTTTCCATAGGGCGTGATGTTTTTTTCTTCCATTTTTTTTATATTTTCCTTCCTTTTTTGGCAAATGTCTTTCTTGCCAATTGTTGTTGTTATTTTTCTGCCGAAGGGATGCACAGCGAATTGGCAATGTATTGGCGGCGGCGGCTCCAGGATGTTTTTCTTTTTCCAGGCGGGCTCCAGGCCTGCTCTGACTCGAGTTTGTCAAGTGAAGGGGGAAATTGGAATGGTGAAAATCCTTGGGAGGAGAGATGGATTTTCGGGGCACGCAAATCAATGATGCTTGCTTTTGAAGATTTTTCCTAGGGAAATTCAATTTTGTCATGGCAATTGCAATATATTTTTACTTTTGGGGTATTTATGGCACAAAATTGGGAATGATATATACTTTTAAAAATCTTTAGAAGGATATAATTAGGATCTATTGATTTTGAGATCCTTAGTTAATATTTATAGCTCCTTAATATTAAAACAAGAGTATCCCTTGCATGTCTAGAGGCTTCGCTTATCCCGTCTCTTTGTTTTATAATTCAATTTAGTGAAAGTACATGGCATACTGTGTATATGAGCAACAGGCTGGCCCATAACACTTCAGTCATAACAATGAAAATGAAAATAAAAAATAATCATATAATATAGTGGAGCATATACGCAGAACAGAAGCAAATTGAGACAAGCATGCCATTGCCACACACGCCGCTCAGGAGCCCACTACAATGATATTTTTGCCATTGTTTGAAGTCATGTAGGCCAGAGGAGCAGCAGGGCTTGGTACCACAGGGAGGTGGTAGCAGCAACAGTTGACTTTTATGCCTGACATGATGCTGCGCGGCTTTATGCCATCACTCGGTTTACTTTTCATTTTTCCCCTTGCATAATTTCAAACTGATATGCAGTTCAGTTCAGATGGCGGCCCACAAGGCGTATGAGTAATATTCGTAACAATGCCCATAATTGTCACTGTTTGGAGCAGGTGATGTTCTGGAACTGAGTTGCAACCGAGCAGCAGTCAGTGCGGTTTCATGTAGCTACAAGTTTGTTGCAACGTGTCTCATTAAAACCATAATGAGCCCAAATAACAAACTTTTCAATGAGGTACATGTTACTATGCAAACTATGGAATTAAAAGTTTCTTTTTTATATAAAACACTGAAAAAAGACTATACTGTTTGTTTAAAGTTTAAGCTATTTCTTTAAAGTCACTAACCAAAAACCTATTCCATTTTTATTTTCAAATAAAGTTAAACCACAAATAAATTCATTGTCTAGACTGGGCTGCAATTGTTGTGTGCTGGACGGTGGTATTATTTTAGCCAACTGCAATATATCATTCTGCATGTGGCATAGCATATTAGCGTTGGTTTTTCACACACATTTTCACACATTTTCATTTCTGAACAAATTACGTACATTATTGCGGAACAAAAGTGAAAAGGACCCATGGCAACAAAAGCAACAATGGCTGAACCCTTTTCGCTGGGGAAGGATTTTGGTTATGGGGTATGGGGTTACTGTGGAGGTGCTGTGGCATTATGAAAATGCTTTAAGCAGAAAATTGGATTTTTTTTTCGGACCCCCTCTCTGAATGGAAAACAAAGCAACAGCAACAACAACAAAAAACCAAGCAGGTTGGCAATAACAGTAAAGCCCCGGTAGCAACAAAAAATAATAAGTATTAAACATCACCCGAAAGAGCGGCGAAACAAAAAATAAATGTTAGATATGCTGACAAAGGTAATACAATAAATACGAAATGACGTTGCCGGCACGGCTGCTGTTAATGTTAAATTTTACGTAGCATACTTTGGGGCATCCTAAAGGTATCGTCAGGGGTTGGATGGATGAAATTTTTGTTAGGAGCAGTAGGGTATGGTTCGGTTGCTTTTTGTTAGTTCGGAATCGTGCCGATTGTACTGTTTTCGGTTCTGTTTGGGTTCTTTAATTTCATTTTAGGCCATTCTTATTTATTTAACATTACTTTTTATTTTATGGCCCACATAAAGCGGCAGCACTTTCACACTCCCCAGCCATGCCACCTAGAGTGCCCCCCAAGGCATAAGGTAAACAAAATTAAATTTAATTTTAACCAAATTAAATCTTATTTCCTTTTTTTTATAGTTTCGGGCATAAATCAAGAACGCATTGCCCCCTAATTGTTTAATCGCGAGTGTAAACTGTGATAAGCCTCGCCCATAAAAAGATAACCCACTGATAAGCCACACTACCTTGTGAATACTCTGAATCATGCGACACTCGAATCCATGTATTTATAAAATTCCATTCCATTTGTCATGTGTTTGCCCAAAAATTAGTAAAGATAACCAGCACAGCGAGTGCCTCAGGAACTGCATTCTACACACTGAAGCAAGTGCAATTCGGAAAGCGGCTCATAAAATGGGGCATATTACCCAACTTTCGTTTGTAAACACATCAGAATCGAATTGGCTGCACGTTTGTGTGGCAGGCCGCACCGAAAAGCTCTTTCATCGTCGGTTGGGCCATTCGGTTGCAACTTGTACATATTGGCATTAGACTAATCCAGAGTGCTGCACGCAACAATTTAGTTATTGGTCCCAAAATGTTACCAAGGGCAGAGGTACTCCATAAAACTACACTGAGAAAGGGTATTCTTAGGAACATTTTTAACTAAAATTATAGAGGTCTTCTGGATATTACGTATACCACATGTTGGTTAAGAACCCATTTTTTTTATTAGCAAAGAGTACTTCTATAACCTGAATATTTCTCCCTCTGTGGCAAATTTGGTTTGGTTTTGTTGGCCAAAAGCAGACGGAATGGTGACGCACATTAGCCGATAGTGCGAGTCCTGGCCCCAGGTCCTTTTCTCTGTGCCACAGCGAACGTTCAGCGTTTCGTCCTTTTTCATTCTCTTTGCTTGCCACACATGCACACACACTCGCTAACTGATGGCCATTATCAGCATCATTATGTGGCATTAGGAACCGTGCCACCATGATGATGATGTCGTTGCAGCTTAAAGTTGTATGCGATTTATTTGCGGTGGCTGCCCATTTTTCAACTACTTTTCCACTCTCTCCCATGCGAGTGTCTGTATGCTTGTGGCAAAAAGTGCAATTGAGCTCATTTAAATAGCATAAATTAAGATGCTTAAGCTCATTAGTTGGAGATTTTTAATTTCAAAACTGGATGAAAATTGTTTGTAATGACCCCAGGACGAAAACCATAAAACGTGGCAGCTTATCAGTCAAGTGGAGACTTAAATTTTACAAAATGTTATATTAATTAGTCTCATTAATGATAATAAGTAAAGTATAGCATGTAAACCATTTATAAAATAATAATTCACACTATGGTATATTCGATTCGAATTCTCCGTTACGCGGCAATAGTTGAATATCAAAGATTTATGGAGCCATAAAATGGAGAGTGAATTCGCGAATTATTCCTCATGAATCATGTGCTCCGGCAATCATTCGTTGCCATATCAACTAGGGCACGTGACTCTCGATAAGACCTTCGTACTTAAGATGGTTCCATGGAGCCCATACTGCCTGATAAACAAAGCACTTGACAATCGGGGCTAATACCAATTGAGCAGACATAAGGCTGCCAGGCCACCGCCGCCGTTCCACTTCCCTCTACACTTCTTGGCCAAAATCTTTGACTAATCCTCGCATATAACACAAAGGTTGTGGGCTTATTTGTGTCTTGGTCGGGCCTCAAAGGGATATTAGCTGGCTAAGGCTTGGGGAAGTTATTACATTTGGCAATAAGGGAATTTCAAGAGCCACCAAAGGATTGCAAAGGCTTTTAGGTCTTTAATAAATGCCATAATAATTTTAAAAGTAAAGGTACACGAATCTCTAAGCTAGAATACTATTGAAAAGCTTCCAAGCAAACCCATCCAACATACCACCTGCCAAGTTATCAAATGGCATGTCCTTTTTTGGTGGATGATTGATTGATCATTCTGTCAATCAACTGGTGTGATAGAGTTGGGTGGCTCCTGCACTACATAGTCCATATCAGATGCAATACATCGGTGTCGAAATAAGAATTGTCACCTCGGGGTGGCTCCAACGCTAATGGTGACAATGAAGTAATGCCACAACTGGCTTGTGTTGGCCAACTCGTGCTTATACTCAATCATTGATAGTGATTGAAGGAGAAGTGACCAGCCAGCTGAACGGTGAGAGGGTCTGAACGTAATTGGGTTTCGGTTATTCGCCGATTACCTTTCCGAAAAGGCGATAAGCCAACAATTTCCAGCGTCTAACCGGGCCAGAACTGTTCAGTGTTTTGTGTTCTACAATCGCAAAGTGCTTGCGAGCGTGTGATAAAAACGAAAAACAAAAAATATAGGGAACGAAAATATATATAAATGTTGGCACAAAGATTATGAAGTGAGTGTATTGGTATCGGCTTGTTTAGATTAGCCCTCCAGTCTAATTGGCCATAGAGCTCAGTGGCTCTAAGGCGATCGCACAGTTCTTTCTGCACCGCTGAGGTGGCAGGTCGCGAAAAAATATCATCTCTCTTAATATTTAGTTCTTCCTGATCTAGTGTAAGTGTGGTGTTTCCAAAGTAGACTCATCTAGCCAATAGTGTGTGCTCTAGAGTTGTGCAAAAATTAATTTATTACAAAATATTTGCAATCGGAATGATGATTAATTTTATGGCTTTGCCACGTTGGCAATCGGTTGGCTAATAGGATTGTTGGCTTAATATAATCTCAATTTAAAGGCTAACACTACGAGGTTATCAATGTTGTCTGAGATAAGCAGCCGTATCAGGCTTTAAAATAAATATTTCCATATTTTGAAACCGTTTCGTTTCTAAAGTATTTGACAATTTCATTAAACTTAATAGTAATTAGTTCAACGATAACGTATCTAAGTTGATTATTGATAATCACTCGCTAACATGCGGTTAACGGCGATTTCTATTAGCCAACTATGTGGCCATAATTGGCATGTGTGACGTCAGAGCACGTGATGGATCATGTGGGGCGAAAAAAACAAATTGAGCCACTCAAGCGTCAAGTTGAAATTTGCCACACAAACGATTGGCGGCGTCGATAATATTTTTACGGCCCACCAAACGGATTTCTTAATGAGCCCAGTAACACTGCCTGCAATCCGGCAGCAAACCCAATCCCCCCATGAACCCGTAATTGCGGACATAAACCAGCGGGGAATATAGCACCAGAACGAGAATAGAAATGGAAATGCTTCTCCTCTAGTCGATATAATCAGACATTTGCGTGAAGTTGGCCCACGAAGATTTATGGCCAACTTAAAGGCAATTGTCTGGCCCGTACAGATTTATGGCCAAGACTGATGTACAAAAGTGTACCGATAAGGCTGAGTCTAGCTCTGATTTATCCATCGATAGCCTATGGCGCAAAATCCCCAGCTAGTTAATCAATTTTATAAACTGTTGTTGAAATTACCGGAAGAACATTTTCCCAGATGAACTAGATTTCTAGCCAAAGGGATAGACTATTCCAATCTTACGAAGCTTAAAGTAAACACTTATCTAATCATTTGCATTAAAAACCCTGAAGTTTTTTTTAAAATTTGTTGACAACAAAAAAAGTCATAAACTAGTTGAGTAAACTACCTAAACGTTAAACAATTTTCTTACAAAAAACATGCAACCTTACATAACTTCCACTATTTCCTCTCGCAACTAATAATTTATAAATCAATTAAGACATAAAAATTCCTTAAGGTTACTTTCAGACACCATAAATCAGGGGCCTTATATCACTGACACACCCCAATAGTAAAAACTACCAAAATATCACCGGAATAAGGTTTCGGGGTAGACAGCGCGTCTTCTTATCAGTCAGCTGAGAGCGAGAGTCAATCATGGGTTTATGGCCAGACAGGCTTGGCCGCAATCACGGCCAAAAGCATAACCATAAATATCTGTAGGCCAGCACAATCTGTATGCCAAAATCGGTTATCAAAAGACACTGTTGCAGGTCCTGGCCCGGCAATAAGCGTTTGATGCAATAAAAGACTTTCGGGGCTTATTTATAAACCTACTGATTGCCAGTAATTGTTAATAATTTCAAATTATTAATGCGCTCAGAGCGCTGAATGCCGCCCACTCGAAACACCAGGCACTACGCCAGAGATAACGACCACGACGATCTTGATAGTCCCGGCCGGGCTATATAATCTAATCAGTTCGGTATTGTTCCATGGAGTTTCACTTATGTGATTGATTGCGACACTGAGCACCGGCTACACTCAAGTGGCTGTGAATGGCCCATAAAAAACTGCGTCAGTTGGATCAACAAATCGACAATGTTGAAACAATATGACGACTGGACCCCATTACCACTCGTCAATATACCTAATTATACTATCACTCGACTGCAATTGAGGAAATAAATGGTCCTCCCGACAAGCAAATTAAATAAATGTCACAATTTGTAAATAGTTTTTGATCAATTACCAAGCAACAAGCACCCTCCACTTATCACTTATTATTAGTTTATTGGAATTGTCCGAATTTTTATTATGAATGGAAATTTTGATGACTCTCTGTGAGGTCCATAAAATAGTCAGCCATAAACCCAAAGGCCACTTTTTATTTGGAAATAAATGAGTTACCAACGTCAACGCAGAACCACGATAAAAAATGATTCACTATTAATATTTCCAATTTATTTCAGTGATAGCCCCCGTATCCGATCATGGGAGACATGTTCCGTAGTGAGGAGATGGCCTTGTGCCAGCTCTTCATCCAGCCGGAGGCAGCCTACGCCTCCATAGCCGAGCTGGGCGAGAGTGGGTGTGTCCAGTTTCGGGATCTCAACGAGGAGGTCAGTGCCTTCCAGCGCAAATATGTGACAGAGGTCAGGAGGTGCGATGACATGGAGCGACGACTGCGCTACGTGGAAACCGAGATGAAAAATGATGGTCTGAAGCTGCCTGAACTGAGACAGGACGAGGAGCCGGGAGCACCGAATCCCCGCGAGATTGTGGATCTTGAGGCGCAGCTGGAGAAGACCGAGAACGAACTGCGCGAAATGTCGGCCAACGGAGCCAGCTTGAATGCCAACTACCGGCACATGCAGGAACTCAAAAACGTACTGGAGAACACAACGGGCTTCTTCTCCGACCAGGAGAACATCAACCTGGACATCAATCGCAGGATGTCGATCATCGATCCTAGCCTGCAACAGGTAGGAGGCCAGCGTGGCCAACTGGCCTTCGTGGCCGGAGTCATTAAGCTGGAGAAGTTCTTCAGTTTTGAGCGAATGCTGTGGCGTATCTCCAGGGGAAACATATTTCTGCGCCGCAGCGACATTGATGGACTCTGTGACGACGAGGAAACCGGACGTCCCGTCCTGAAGACTGTTTTCGTGGCCTTCTTCCAGGGCGAGCAGCTGAAGCAGAGGATCAAGAAGGTCTGCGCCGGCTATCATGCTTCTGTCTACCCGTGCCCCAGTTCGCATGCCGAGCGGGCGGAGATGATCAAGGACGTCAATGTCCGATTGGAGGACCTCAAGTTGGTCCTGAGCCAGAGTGCCGATCACCGCAGCCGTGTCCTGAGCTCAGCCTCGAAGCACTTGCCCCGATGGTCCATAATGGTGCGCAAGATGAAGGCCATCTACCACATTCTAAACTACTTCAATCCGGATGTGACGGGCAAGTGCCTGATTGGTGAAGGCTGGGTGCCCACAAACGATATACTCACGGTCCAGGATGCCTTGGCCCGGGCTTCGAAGATCTCGGAGAGCTCCATACCGGCTTTTATGAACGTGATCGAGACCAACGAACAGCCACCTACCTATACCAGAACCAACAAGTTCACCAGTGGCTTCCAAAATCTCGTTGACTCCTACGGAATGGCCTCTTACCGTGAAGTGAATCCTGCGCTGTACGCCTGCATCACTTTCCCCTTCCTGTTTGCCGTGATGTTTGGCGATCTGGGACACGGCCTGATCCTGGTGGCCGTCGCCGCCTACCTGATCATCAAGGAGAAGCAACTGGCCTCCATTCGAGAGGAGATCTTCAACATCTTCTTCAGCGGCCGATACATCATCTTCCTCATGGGCATCTTCTCCATCTACACGGGATTCATTTACAATGATATTTTCTCCAAGTCCATGAACATCTTTGGCTCTGGCTGGCACATGAACTACACCAGAGCAGTGATTGAGGATGAGAATCTAAAGTCGATCACACTGCGACCAAACGATACTGTTTGGAAGACCTACCCCTTCGGCATGGATCCCATTTGGCAGATGGCCGACAACAAGATCATTTTCCTAAACACCTTTAAGATGAAGTTGTCCATCATTGTGGGAGTCCTTCACATGATCTTCGGTGTCTCCATGTCGGTGGTTAACTTTGTCTACTACAAGAAGTACGCCAGCATCTTCCTTGAGTTCCTGCCCCAGGTCTTGTTCCTGCTCCTGCTCTTCGGCTACATGGTCTTCATGATGTTCTTTAAGTGGGTCGTCTACAATGACACCGTCGAAGGAGCTCTCTCGCCAGCCTGTGCTCCTTCCATCCTGATCCTGTTCATCAACATGATTCTGCAAGGCTCCCAGGATACTCCCGAGCCCTGCAAGGAGTTCATGTTCGATGGCCAGAAGACAATTCAGCAGGTCTTTGTCATTGTTGCCATCATATGCATTCCCTGGATGCTACTGGGCAAGCCTCTGTACATCATGCTCAAGCGTAAGACCAGTGGAGCTCCAGAACCCAAGCCAGGTAGTGGTGGTCATGACGACGAGCCCATGGGCGAGATCTTCATCCACCAGGCTATCCACACCATAGAGTATGTGCTCAGTACAGTGTCCCACACGGCGTCTTATCTGCGATTGTGGGCCTTGTCCCTGGCTCATGCACGTAAGTTATATATCTCAACTTCAAACTAAAAAAATTATTAAATTAAAAGTAACATTTCATTAAAAAGAAGTTGCCATGTCGTAGTTAGATACCCGTACTATCAAGAAATCCTTAAACTCTCAGAACAAATCCAATTAGTGATAACTCTATCATTTATGAACTCATATATTTTTATCAGCAAAACCAAATCGGTCTATAAAAATACTATTACTCAATTTTTTATTGGAGCATGTCGGCCATAAAAATTATAATTTTAACCCTGACTAGAAACCAATATTTAAAAATATTTATTTATACATTTTTAGAGCTTTCTGAGGTGCTATGGAGCATGGTGTTCTCGATGGGCTTCGGCTATGATAACTACATCGGCAGCATACTCATCTACATATTCTTTGGGGCCTGGGCTTTACTGACAGTCGGCATCCTGGTGCTCATCGAAGGACTCTCCGCCTTCCTACATACACTTCGCTTGCATTGGTAAGATTATAGCTTAAATATTCTTTTTCTGTAAATTACAAATTAATGTTCGTTTTAGGGTTGAGTTTATGAGCAAATTTTATGAGGGCGCAGGTTACGCCTTCGAGCCATTCGCCTTCAAGACCATTCTGGATGTCAGCGAGGACGACTAGAGAGTAATGGTGATGGCTGAGATGGCGAAAGGGATAGTGAAACAGCGCAGGACGCACTATCCTTCAAGTATTTTCTGTTTATTTCGTTTCGTTTCGCTTTGGATTTTTTTATACGAAAAAATAAATTTTCGTTTGATATGCATTCTGAATATTTCGCTTTAGTTGGCTCATTTCTGGTTTTGTCAGCCGACGACAAATGTTTGTCATATGCTTTCTGACAGTCTTTCTATGGTCATCCAAGTGACATCTGCAGACACCGACTATATATATTCATATATCCCTACAACTGCACATATCCTGGACAATCTCAAAGCAAATTGCTTTTCATCCTCAATAGCAAGTTTGTGTTTGAGCTCGTCTGTCTGCCTTTTTTTTGTGGGGCATTAGAAAAGTTGTCATTTGCCGAAATTATGTTGTCAGTTCGACTGTCCATTGGGCATTGAGTTGTGAAATTGCACTCTGGACAATTTAAATAATAATGGAAAGGTAGTTTCCATTCAGTTATTCCACAAACTAGGAGAAGGGGAAAATAATAGTTCAATAAGAAGGTCTTTAAAGGATTAGGCATTTTATAGAAAAACTTACAAGCGATAAATGCCTCTATTCAATGTAAGCCCTGAGCCCTAGGCTCCTGCTTTTCAGAAGTCCTTTGTTTCCTTTGTTTTTCCAATGCCCTGTACTTTTTGCAAAATATTTGCATTCGAACTCAATTGGTTGCGTTTCGTGTTTATGGCCTTTTGCTCGTTGGCCAAATTCCACGTGTTCAAGTTCGCGTGTTGATCTTTTTTGGGGCTTTCAGTGTCCCGGCGATGGCATTTGTGCCAAAAAATATATTTTTGTGAGTATCGCAGTGCTGACAACTGGCCATAGGAACTGGCAAGTAGGCAGGTGTATCCCAGGTGAGTGGAGAGGTGATCCGGCCAAAACACACGCAATGCAAATAGGAATTGAAACTGTCAGCCAAACGCTTTGAACCCGCATGTCAAATGCTGTTTTCAAAACAAACAAAAAAACAACAGGAAACAGCGACTAAAGGAACAGCTAGAAGGTGTTTCACAGAAATGGAGTGGTGGAACGGAAATACTCTTCGAAATCAAAATACATCAAGAAAATAAATATAAGAGGTTGAACAAAATTATTAAAAAATTCGAACTGGTATAAATAAAAACTAATATTTAACTAATAAATATAACTAATATTATAATAAATAATAATTACTGAATCTTTTAAATTTAAAAAATCTACAATAGTAATAGGAACAATGCACCGACTTTAGAAAGCTCTTGAAATATTAGACACACTGAAGGATCCATTTACTATAGAGTACCTACACTGCCAAAAAGACAATAATTTATCTGTCATCCCGATGGCGATTCTGGCCTAGTAGCTATCGTGGTTTAGTCGTGTTTGTGCAGCTGACATTCTGGTCAAGTTTTTCGTTTCCTCACGCTCCGACTGAAAAAATAGAAACATTTTGCATTACGTATACGCCACGTATCGCCATCGCCATCGACATCAGAACCGGCATCGGCATTGGCAGTATCGGAAATAAATGCCCGAAATCGAAACGGCATATAAATATTTCTGCAAAATACATTAAACAAATAAATGTTTGTCCATACATAGACAGTGAGACTGTGTGGCAGTTGGTCGTAAATTATGTTCTCTGGCCTAATGCATTTGGCCTCGTATTAATCAATGTTTGTGCTGGTCCGAGCACTGTGTGTTTGGCCTCCATTTTCATTTTTCCATTTTTTTGCCCGTCCTGGGCGCCACTTTATGGACAACTGCGGCATTTGGTCGTGCATTTGTTTTAATTTATTTGCTCGAACGCATTTATTTGCATTTAGTTTCAAAAGTTTCTTTTGAACATTTCCCCCAATTTTTTGTACCGATGTCATTTGATTTTTTATGCCTGCTGCGCCAGGGTAAATATAAATCAAACTGCATTTGTTCAGTGTCGCTGATTTGCATTGGGATTTGTTTATAAATCCGCTAAAATACACGAAATCGAAATAATAGTTTTATTCCTGGCCACATACATGCATCCATACAGATATTGCTTTTTAATTGTTCGTACAATTCATATTTTCTTTATAATTTTTCAAGTTTTTGTTTGTTTTTATTTTCTGACATATGCAGCCTTCTAATTGAAAGCCATTGCAAAATGTTTCCTTTATTCTATAGATACCAAACATAAATTCCTTTGCTGACCCGGCTTTTATTTCGGGATTTATTCGAAACAATTAAATAAATATACAATTTGTTGAATTGCTTTGATATAAAATTAATGAAATATGCCGCTCATAAAATGGCTAGTTCTTTACTTTTATTGGGGATTTATTTGCTGGCTTTTATAACCATCGAAAATCAGAGCATAAGCCCAAATCTGAAATCTAGATCAACTTCTTGGTGTCCCACTTTTATTATCACTTGCAGGGACACACCACAAAGACCACGTCCAAATCACCGAATCCCAAATTATCCGACTTGGGCTTTACCAGATTTTACGACACCGCGTCCAACAAAGTCCGTAAATCAAAAGCAGATAATTTTCCAACAGCTTCACTTTCTTCTCGCCGGCCTGACCACCTTACCACCTTACCAGTGATTCCACTGAAATGGACAGCGAAGGCATAAAATAATTGTTCACTGAGAGAGCCACAAATTATAAAATTTTTCCCCGGCCCTGGAGCTACTAAATTTACATACTCCATGACGATCCACCCACTCAGCTGGACGCACGTTCCAACTTTTACTTTATTTATGCCTCAGCTTAAAAAAAAAGGACAAAATCCTGGTGGGTGGATAGCCCCAGGAGCTGGGGGCTGGGTGGAAAGTAGGAGAAAGCGGGGAAAGTGTGTGAGCACAATTGCGCGTCATAAATTTGAATTATTGTGCTCTTTGCATTTGACAACGACTTAAAAGCACTTGCAGCGATTTGGGCCAACTCAGTCCAGTTCAGGTCCCGTGCCGTTCGGTTCAGAGAGGACTCCGAGGCAGTCAGCCATGAACATGTCCTTGAGACATGTAAGAGAGCTCGTTATTACACTGAGACAATCATCGGAACTTAAAAATTATATTTATAAAATGTAGAGAAAAATTTAATTTGATTTTAACAATTTTCTCACACTCATCTAGATAAGTATCTGCGTATTTTTATTTGTAGTGCTTTATAAAATCTCAACACATCCGTGTAACATTTTTTTTTATATATTTTTTACCCACTGGCTGCACAACGCTGGCACGCCCACTAGGAGGCTGAAACAACAATGCCAGAGACATTTTTAGTGGACATTTATTTTATGCTTGAAACGCATTGAAATATGCGCCCAAGGCGCCAGCTTTGTTGACGATGAAGTCGGTCATCTCAGTGCGGTGGCCTGTCTTTTGTCAGCCCATAAAATATTCTGCCGCCCACGTCTATGGTGAGGGAATGCTTTATGCTTTTCAGCAGTGTGCTTCCTGCTTTTTGGCTGACAGTGAGAGCAGAAAAGTGCATTAGCCATTTTGGCAGCCGACGCACATTCATCCGAAACCCACCATTGTTTAATCTGAAACCTACTCCCCCTTCTCTAATTAGCCCGATGTGCAGCTGCATTCTGATTGTATTAAAGTGTTAAAATGTCGCCCAGCCATTTTCTCTCACTCATTTGGCCATCCGTCTCTGTCTTGTCGCTTTTGGCCATGATGGAATGCTGAAAACGGATTAATTTGTCTCCCAATGTGAACTGTGCTGACAGGCGGGCCAAAGCCACAAATTGCTCAAGATATAAATTCTTGAGCGGCATCAAAAGAAAAACCCAAGTAATTTGATATTTTCAGAAATATATACGTATACGCTGTTGGATTGTACAAAACGGGCTTAAAACGAATGGGAGATGGTAGGGGTGTTGAATTGACCATGTTAACAATAAACAATTGACCACACAACATGACAAGCAACGAATGTGCCGGCCAAGTATGTTTCCATCAAAAATTTAGAGAGGCTTTAGATTGGGCGACTACCTAAGTACCTATTAAAAAATTTATAAAAAATGTATGTGTTTAAAAATGTTTAGGAACTTATTTTCTACTTTCTAAGGGATTTTAAGGGCGTAATATTCACGGTGTTTTTGTAACAGATTTTCAAAAATATTTATTAAATAAAAACTTCTAAAAGATTAAATTATATAGAGCTTAGAAGTTACAAAAGGTTAACCTTTTTTAATCCGGTTTTAAGAGACTTTTTTATTTCACAAGAAATTTTATAACTTTTCTAGGATTTCTGAAATTTTTTCAATATTTTCAGAAATCGAAACTCAAACATTAAATGTATACAATTTATTTTGAAACTGCAAATATATATTGTCAATAATAAATCAATGAAAAAGTCATAAACATTTATGAATATTTAAGGAGACTGCCGACCTCTGAGCGACGTTGATTGCTGAGTATCAAAAAACGCTTGCGGCTTCCAATAAAACTATTAAACGTTCCAAAACACACAGACACGTCCATATGCGAGGCCTTTGTAGTACTCGCTCAATTGTACAACAATTGTATATGTGTTTTATTTTTTTCTTTTGTTTACTTTTATTTTTTGTTTATTTTTTGACTGTGGGCCATGTCTGCACAAATGTTGCATAGCAATTGCTTTGTGTGTTCAATTTTTGGCATAGCAACAAACATGCAGTCACACACACCCAACAACTAACACACAACACACACAAACCCAACAATGGGCAGTCAAACAAATGAACAAGAGCGGACAAATTTTGCAGCTGTCAGTGGCAGGAGCAGGCGCCAGGACACGAGGCACAACAGGAGGCACAAGCAAGATTTTTATTTGTCGAACTTAAAAAAAAACCCGAACCCCAAAATTGTGGTTTAAAATATATATATTTTTTTTATTTTCTTACAATTCTGAGAAATGCAATGGCCAGCAGCCAAAAATTGAGGATGGTGTGGCGTAGCAATCGTCGTTTGTGCAAAGTGGGTGTGGTCGCAAATTGTTAAATGCTTAGATGTCTGCAAAGAATTTGTCGCCAGGAGGCGTCGGGAATGGATTTTCCATTTTCCAGCTGCTGTCACGTATACGTAATATGGCCGATGGCAGCTCCCGAAAGTATGCAACGCCAAAGGGGTGTTGTTTTTCTGCTACCCGAATAGATGTTGATAAATGTTTTTAGTTTGTCCACTCGCCTCCCCCATCCTGCTCCTGCTCCTGTTAATATGAAAAATGGTCTATTGATAAATGGCAATATGGCTTTAGTTGCCAAAAAGTTCTACCCCTAAGTTTATAAAGTAAAATATGACGAGTGTTCGAAAAAGTGATTAGAGTGTGGAAAAAGGTTTTAGAGTATAATATAAAAATAGTTTTCGTTTAATATCTGCAATTTTTGTCCAAGATAATCCGCACTATTTGGTTGGCTTAGGCAAATGTAATTATGCTGACAATCAGCAGATAATAAACCTCAAAGCAGCAATTAAACGCAACGACTGCTTAAAGCGTAAAGCTCTATGGCCTCAACACACACACACACAACACACTCATACCCACACCGACCGTCTATATAGATATAGCCACGTTATCCTTTGTTGTTATTACTGGGGACGCTCCTTTGGCCAGGGTCACATTTAATTGTGCGCCATGTTCAACAGGCCATTGTACATGCGTATTAAATGTAATTAACTCATTATAAATGATAACGTGGTCGCAAGGAGTCGCATTCAGGTATGTCTTGAGCCGCAGTTGCGACCTCGAATCCTTGCGGGCGAGAAGACATTTCGTAGGACACGGCGGACGGTGAACGGCGGCTGTCACAGCTAATTTAGCCCGGCCAAGCAGCGGAACGTGTTGGGTTACCATGGCCGGGGATAACCCGAGGGGAGGTGGGTAAATGCGGAATTATTACCGGAAAAGGACAATGAGACGCACTGGCTATTATTAAGGCACACGGGTGCCACACAGGACTAGAATTCCCGTTTCAGGTAATAAAAACTCCTTTATGCGCTCGAGTGGGTCACTCCCCTTTTGGTTTATTTTATAGTTTGTCTCTCGCCCTATTTTCACACTCTTGCCACCTCGGGGCAGCCTTTTAATTATGTAACACGCTCCTCAGCCAGTGGTGTGCATGCGCCACGCACCTTGGTGGCATTTTCCCGCATTTCCCCCTTGGTTTTCCGCATTTCCTCTGGTCACCTCTGTTCCGTGAACTTCACGTGTGAACTTAATACAGATAAAGTAAAGTTTCTGATAAATTTAATTGGTGGCATTAACATTTCCATAATATTTTACTACTAGTTCACTTATAAAGTCTCTAGTAATTACAGATAGATTTAATCTGTTTAGGGCCTGGTGACAAATCACTTTCATTTTTCACGAGAAAACCATTAGAAATTTCTCTTCATTAAATGCCACAATTCCCCAGGTTTCCAACTTTAGACGCAAGACATGAAAAAAATCTTGAAAATTCGATTTAAATCTTGAGACAAGCAGCCAGGGAGCAGAGTCAAGGGAGAAGACTAACTGCCAACATTTACCATCAATAGCCGCATTTGCTTATATCAAGTGAAAACTTTCTTATCGGCAGCTACAGCGGCAACTTCAATGACAAATTGAGACAGCGATGCGATGCAGCGGAGGGGTAGCCCTGGGTGGAGGGCCAAAACGAGCCAAAAGTTGGCCCACAAACACACACTCGCACATATATATAGATTGGCTTGTCGTTGTGACAACTTGCCACTTTGAGCACGTAAATTTTTGTCGCCTCTCGCCTTTTGAATTGATAAGAAAATTCATAAAATTTCTTGAAAATGGTAAAAATAAAAAACCCAAAAAAATTCAAACCAGAAATGGGAAAGAGAGTGGGCAACACGCAATCCAACTCAAGTGTGTCAGCAGCCGTGAAAGTGGCATTTGAGCCGGGCTAAAAACTTTTGCTGCCAACTTGCTAATCTAATGAACAATTGTGGCTGCAGGCCACCTTTAACACCTCCTGGCCCCGAGGACGAGAACTCTGGCCGTGCCACAGCACCGAGCACCTGTGTGCCAATGGCAGCCTCAAACTTTTCGATCCGACACTGCCATAGCATCCAAGATTAAAACGAAAATTAAGCTCGCCTCTGATGTCAGGCAAGCATTTCATTTTTTATTAATTCCATTTCAGGTTTTTTGCCTTTTTTTTGTTGCACGTCGCATTCCTAATTGGATTTTCCGTCAGCAAGTTCGGCAGGAATTTAATGCAATTTTACCAGCTTTTTAAATTGCAAGTCAAGTTTGCAGACAACGAACTCAAACAAGTCAACAGTCAACTTAATTGTCATAATTTGTGTTTACAAACTTGACGAATTTGCTAAAAAAAAAAAAACAGAAAGGAAAAAAAACTAGACAGCAGCAAATTAAATAAGAAGAAAAGAAAAATGATGAGAAGGAAGAAGCTTTATGGGGGATTCTCTGATGAAAGGATGCAATGGAAGGGCATATGTGGCCAGCTGGCAGAGCAAAGTTTTCATCACAAAACAAACCAACAAAGGGCCAGAGCAAATAGAACAGGAGCCACCAGCCAGGAACAAGGATTCTGCAGTGGCAAGCAAAAGCCGGGCACAAAAGAAAACAGGCCAAATGGAAAAGGAGTAGCTTAAGCCAGGACTAGTCTACCCTTTAATAGGTGCTTTAAAAAAATATGTAAAGGAATGTGCTAATTGCAAATATTAGTAATAAGAATTTGGAATACATTTTTAGAATTTCCAGGCCCTATTTTAGGTATTTTTAGTCCTCAACCCATCTAACTGATGAGTATCAAAATATTATCACTCGAAAAAGAAGAAGGACCCGCCGCAATCCGGAAAATGGAAGTCCTGAACTAAAATTGGACACTTAATGCCGAGGAGAAGAAGGAAAACGACGGTAAAAAGACAAATAAAGACTAAGCAAATAAAATCTAATAAAACCAAGGACACAAAAACTTGAGCCAAGTCGGCGAAAATGAGCTAAATGCTGCAAAGGGACAACGGCGGGGCGAATGGGGCCAAAAAACTAAGGGGATGCCTCTATTTCTAGGGCGAGGCGAGAGACCAAATGAAATAAAGTGCCAGAAGTATGTTTCATTAGCGGCAACAACAGCCAACCAGACAACAACAAATAACAAACAACAAAGCCAATGGACAATGGACCGCCAAGGACACATGCTCCAGTGGAGTTTCTTGATGAACTTCATACTTGTACGACCAGCAAAAAAATGGAAGAAAAGCAAACAAACTCAATTACAAGGAATACGTATTTACACTTCAATTTAAAAAGGTCTTTAATTATTAAAAGGTATCAGAAGCAGGTTATGAAAAAGTTATAAATGTTAAAAGCTTCATATACCGACATAAAGATATTTTAATTATTTTTATCTAAGATTTAGAGGACGATTTTTTTTTTTACATCATGTGTGTGTGAACAATATCGATTACAGGAATTCTCACTATTGAAGTTCCCACAGGGCTCTTTCCCCAAGGAAACAAGATAACATTTATGGTTCTTTTCATCAAATCCCCATGTAATCTCATCACGGCACATTTCTTTTTCGTAATTCTTCTTGCAGAGTACTTGCTGCACAAAATAAAAATGTACTCCATTATATGTCGACAATAATACTTGCATACTTGCTTGCATGGCACTATGCCCCAAAACTATAAGAAATTGGTATAATAAACAAAGAACCAACAAGATCAAAAACTTCATCTTAACTAATAAAATATTCGAACAAAAATAATGCATCGTTTGCAATTAGTTCTGCAACAAATTTACTTATTTTCTTTGCAAGAAACGTGTATAATTCCTAATTTTTTTTCTATTAAATTTTCCGAGACAAAAGTCTTTGCATCCTTTTTCGCCATCGAAAAATCCGCAAGGCTCCTTTTTATGAGGCACCAAATAGCATTTTCGTTCATATTCATTAAAGCCCCAGGTGTTATTTTGGTAACATGTTATAGAGCCACCAGTTCGCTTGCAAATAGCTTTAAAAAAAAAGTTAATACATTTCATAAAAAAAATTTTGAAAATAATAAGACTTACTATTGTATGTAGGACTAAGAGAATAATTATCTGCCCCACCACAAATAACTAAAAGAAGAACTAATATAAACAAGAACTCCATAGTGACTGATTAATATAAGAAACTAAACCCGTAAACTTAAACAAATTAATTCGTTATGAGACCAAATTAATTAGGCAAATAAGAGCTTTCTTTTTTATTTTAAATGTATTTATAAACAATTATAATTGATATATATTTATCTCAAGTCATACCATTAACAAAAACCTCAAGTTGTGCAAAGGTTTCCGTCGCCGAGGAACATATCACCTTGCAAGTATCCGATCGAAGAAAGAAACTACAAGGCTCGAGTAAATATTTTGTGGGCATGCATTTCTCATCTTTGTCGCTCCAATAAAAGGTTTTCAATTTCTGGCAGACTGGACCACTTTCATGTTTTTTGCATAATTCTAAAATCAATAAATATATAAAATGTTAATCAAAAAATAATAATTACAAACCACTTAAAACACTTAAGGCAGAGTGCTTGGCTCCATGGCAGGCAGCAATAAATAAAAACAACAGAAGTAATTTCATTTTGCTTATTAAATGGTGGTTTTAGAGATGAATAAATATTTATAAAAAATTAAAGCATAGGAAAATTATTTAAGTACCATAGAAAATTATATTAGTTATGGTAAAAACCAAATAAATAAATATTTAAAGCAAACGATGTTATTGAAAATACGCCATAGGAGCCTCAATAAACGAAATCTCCAACCGTGCGTATTGTTAACTTTTGTTGACAAAAAAAAACCTGACTTTCAATTGTTTGGCTGCCTGTGATGCGTGTGAGGATATCTTGATGGCTCACTGTTTGCTGTTACCAAGACAACAAAAGCAATTTAATCTTATTGCCGACACGCAAAAATTTCGAACAATGGTCTAGCAGGCAGCAAAATAAATAAATAAAAAATTCCAAAAGTCGACGAGAAATGCCGCAAGTGCTTCCATAAATTTTAAGCGGTGCTATAATGGCTCCTACTTCTAGTTTTTAGATCATTCTTCCTTTGCCTCCCTAAGTTTTAATAACATTTTTTATATGTGACCATAATATCGCCGAGTTATGATATTACAATAATACGCTTAGAGTGGCTTTAAGAAGCATGTTTTAAAATGAGAAATTATTCCCACTATTCATCTAATAACCTAACTCTGAGTTCATATCCTTTCTGTGTTTTCATTTGAGCAAATCGCCTAATGAAATCATATTATTGGCTATAAAATTTTGGGGTTCAATCTACTCAAGCATATAAACTGTCAAGCCCAAATCATATTCAAAGCACATCAAACTAACCTTTTACAGATTGGTAACAATTTTCCTCTTTATTAATCTTCATTAATCAGAAACACACACATGAGAACTATAAACACATCCTGAATGGGCGATTAAAATGAACTTTTAGGGCTTAGCCAGGATAATGGGAGAAGCGTAGGATCTGGCAGAAACTAAAACTCAACATAATTATGCAAAAGACATTGGGGATAATTTTGACAATATCTCAAGCAAAGGAAACTTTCTTTGTATGTGTGTGTGTGCGTAAGGATATTATGAATGCTTGAATAAATTGCTGCCTATCATTTATTTTGTGAATCCTTAATTCGAAAATTATATGTGAGTCTTTAATTGCTCAGTCATTCAGTTGGATTGAAGTGAGGGTAATAAATAAGAACAGGTCTTCTTTACAACTTCATAATCCAATTTAAGCTTTTTACAGGTTACAAGTTTTCCAGTTCTTAGTTTAAGGTTTATGCTTTAGGTTTTCAAACATAGTCCATGGCATATAATTATACATTTTCCCTCTATGTTGACCCACAAATAATGTTGAATAAACCAAACTACCAAAATGCGCAACTTCATACAAGTTTGACATTTTGAACAACGAAATCTGAAACAGCATTAATTAATTTTGCATTTTCAAATTTGCTGTGCATGAACTTAGATGCCACAAAATGCAAATATTTACATATATTGACCCAAATCGATAATTCTCTAATTAAAGCAAAATGATTAAAAGTTCGTTCTCTAACTATTGTTTTTAAATATATTTTACTTTCATTCTGCATGGCAAAAACAATGATAAAATGAACAATTTTTTCATGACAATTAGTCTTTGGCAATTAAAAAAATTAATTACATACGCATCAGAATTGTTGCAGCTAATTAATTAGAATAACCTCCAATTATGCAAAAAATTCACGCCGTTCATTAGCATTTATTTCTTTGATTAAATACTATTTCCATTTTTTTATTTATTTTATTAAAGGCTTAGGATGTTAAGGGTTTGTGAATAAATAATTTATAAAGTCGAATAACGTGCCCCATGCAGGCATCGGAACACAAAAAGGATGCGACAGGACACAGACACACTCTCACACTCAAACTTATGTACATGCACTCATGCTGGTATGACATGTTTTTACAGTTACGTAACAAACAACATGAACAGCCTGCCAGCCCAGTTAAGAGCAGAGGAATGGCATTGCCAAAAAGGCTGCAGGCTGCAAATGTAGTGACAGTTAACATTAACACCAATACAAGCGTAAACATATGCTAAAACGGGGCAGGGGCAGCGGGGGAGGCATCCTGGGGGCTGGGGTTTTTAGGGGGATATGAGGGCTTGAAGGGTTTTTGGGAGGATTTGAAGTCTCTAGGATTGCATATGCAGACCGCTTAATGATTCGCCACTGCAACGGACTTCATGTTGGCTGCCAGAGCTGCCAATTTTAATTGAATTAGAAAAACAAACCATAGACACAGGCACATAAAAAAAATAGTCCAAAAAAATATATATAAGAGATTAAAAAAATATATATACATTCATAATTTTGTGTCTATATTTAACTAGCTAAATAATTTATTCTTTTAAAAATTATAACAAATTTCCTCAGTGCAATACAAATATATGTATGTATATAGACAAGGACATAAAACAGGCAAACACACTTCAGCAAACATCCTGTTTTTGGTCGAACAATCACACACCCCCACTCCCCCACAACCCCACACAAACACACACTCATGCAGACAATGCCACACACAATGTCACTCAAGCAGGTACTAAAGTTAATTACTGCAATTTCCGTGGAAAATTGTTTTATGCATTGACAACATGTGGGTCGAACCATGGTTTTTCCCCATGTTTATATAGGTGTGTGTGTCTGTGTTGTTGTGCATGTGAGGCATGCCACACGCTTATTTTATTAAGTGCCGCTATTTTTCGGTTAGAGCTACTTTTATTGCTCCCCACGAGTATGAGTTTGTGTGTGTGTATGAGTGCATTTCTCCCCAAAAATTTTCTAGGGCAAGCCAGGGCTTTCCATTTTTAATTGTTTTTAGTGGGTGGCGTCCACTTAGTTCCTCCTATCGGGTATCATCTAAATTAGACGACAGCCTGCTACTGAAAGTTTCCAAATGGATGGCTAACGCGGATAAAAATTAATATGAAATTTGATTTTAAGCGGATAAAAATGTTAAAAGGCGGTTTAAATAGAGCAAACCAACTAAAATGCACTCCCTCTACTAGAAATACCAACATTTTAAGACCCTCCCGTCATTCTTCTTACAATTTACTGAAAAGTGTGATATAAAATATTGCAATTCCATTTCTCAATTGTTAACTCGATTTGGTTTTTCTAAGGCTTAACTGATAGGATTTTCGGTTAGCTAAGGGCATTCACTCTGCGGCCTTCCACTCGATTGCATTCTTATGGCTGCTTTTGTTTTATTTTCAGCTGTTTAGTTAATGGTTTAGCGTGTTACGGCGCACTGTGGCAACAATTCTTGTTTATGCGCCGCAAACATTTTGCGCCACCACGCCCCCGCAACAAAGCAAAAAAAAAAAAATACAAAAATATGGCGAACCCATTTCTCCCACGCCTGTTGATGGCATTAAATTTTATTTCACTCAAAACCGCGCAAACCCCATGCCACTGTTGATGGGGGCAAACTAGGCAGCGTGGCAAAAGGGACTTTTGGCTGTTACCATGGCCAACATTGTTAACTTTGACGGCTGCACATGCCGATGTATTTAAATAAATTGCAGCCCCTTCGCCATTGCAATTGTGGCGCAAATTGCGCTAATTTGCCTGATTGTGTAGTTTTGTTATTTCATTTTTGTTGCTTCTTTTTTTTATTGCTGTTGATAAGCTGGAAAGTTTTATGGCATTTTCGGGGCGTAACCAACTTTGATTGATATTGGCCAGACAGCTTGGGTTGGCCAGACTTCACAATGGATTAGATGCAAAATGCAATGAAAAATGAAAATAAAATTGAATTGTTGGCATTTTTCCAGAATTTAATATCAAACACAGAATGTTGCAATCTTTTTGCAAAAATCTCTAAGCAAATAAACTAAGAAACTTGGTCAAAAAAAAGAAAACTTAAGCCAAAGTTATCTTGTCCAGTTTGTGTATTCTCACGCCTTTTAACTCAAGTTCCTCGAGTAATTGACCTTCTTGTGGGGTAGTGGGGAAGGGCATTTGAGTTGAAAAGCATTTGGAGCTTAGCAACTTTCACATCACTAAACCACTGAAAGTTGTTGACTTTATGCAACTTTTTCGTGGCCACAGACAACTACGTGAGGGTCTCTATAAGGACTTCACACCCCACGCCCATCGGCGCCCCGCCTTGAAGGTTGACAAACAAGTTTGTTGTGCCTTGCATTTTTTGCACTCCAGCCACATTTCTTTTCCACAAAATACTATATGTATAAATGTGGATGGGTGTTGGGGTCTGGGGCCGAAACTGCTGGCGTCAGTTGCTTTTAACATTGAAACCCATACATATATGTAGTCGCACTCCAGAGGCTTACAAACACAGACTCTCCCACATATCTCTGCGTACATGGCCAACGACACGTGCTGCAATTGAATTTGTCGCAAAACGCAATAGAAAACACCCACAGATGCCCCAGCCACCCCTCAAAAACAACCCAAACCCCATAACAGAAACCCAAACAGAGAACAGACCCCCAAAAACGAACCAAACGGAACGAAATAGAAAAAGTACCGAACTGGCAAAGGACCACAAATTATTGCCCTCCAGGATAACACCAATTTCC